AATTTTGTCAATGAACTTAAATGTCAAAATGTAATGTGAAAAATCCTGACCAATAAAGAAACAATAATACGACGTACGTTTTCGTAACCAAAGCAATCTTTGATTGGTTTTTTTTTGAAGACCCGATATTTGTTAACTGCTGCAAAGTTAATACGTCCGATTTTTTGCTTGGAGGTTTCAGCACATGCATTTGTTGCTTGGAGTGTGAGTATGTCATTGGTAATACCCAAGAACTTCTTGGGAAATCCATTAGGATATTCCTAGAATATACCTACCTTTTAAATATGACATTATAGCTATGTTCTAAAAAGAATATTATACCAATATGCTTGAAATATTCTTAGAATATATCTTCATATAATATCATTCTCAATATGCATCCTAGACATAACATTCTTGTTTGATTCTAGGGATATACTTAGAATGTTAATTTTCGCTTCCAAATATTGCTCCTGCCAGTCCTTTTATGCTAAAGGCCAGGGCCGCCGCTATCATGTGTGCAAAGTGTGCACCGCACACGGGCGGGGCGGCCAAGAATAGGGGCGGCCAAAGCACACCCCACTGATAATACTTTTTTTTCCAAACAATGAAAAAAATTAATTTAAATTAAATAATAATGATTCTGTAAACTCCAATATTTATATAACAATAATTATTTTATACAAGTATATCGATATCCTTCTTTTTTTCATCTTAATCCAAACAGAAATATTATTGTATAGTACCTATCCAGCTTTGGTAGCTTTGATACTGATGACTTTGACAAATGTTGGATATTACTTTAAATTTTTGAGTAGGTATTCAACTATTTACTGATTTCTTTCTGTTGATATATGAAAAAAAAACTATGCAACTTTCATAAATTTTGTTAAATATTAGAAGGTATACCTAGAAGTGGCGGTCGTCAGGGGAGGCAGTGCCGCCCCTGCCGTGTAAGATTTTCGAAATGTTTTTTTGAAAGCTTGAAATAAACGTTTTTTTGGCGTGGCACCCAAAAAAAATTTCTGCCTCCGGCGGCGCCTGCGGCGGGTTCAAGCACCCTCGCTCTGGAATGAAAAATCCCAGGAAGGAAGGGGGCGCCAAGTATTGCTTTGCACACGGGCGGCCAATACCTTAGCGGCGGCCCTGCTAAAGGCAGTGAAAGAGTTGTTGGATAACTTCTCTGGAAAACACAAGTGTTTAACCAAAGCTACGGTTTCGAGATTGTTAAGCTCTCGTCGCGGTAAGCACGCTAACTGAGAAAAACAGGTTCCAAGGTGATTCAAACCCTAGGCAAGATGTAGATCTTTAATAGCGCGTAGCTCCCTCTCTTGGAAGTCCTACAAAGCAAAATAAAAAGAATATACATATAATATTTTTAGTAGCTTCTAGATAGAGCATTATTGTTTAATTGTTCAATTAAGATATTTGAGTGGTTACCTTAGATAATTAGGTGAACAATATGAAAATATTCTTATCATGGTAACCTACCTACATAAACTTCTCAGCATAACTTGGTAGGTATATTCTTAATACTTGATAGAGATATTAGCCGAAAGAACATTTTTTAGGGTACATTATAATAATGTTCGTATGACGATATTCAAAGAATGTTATATAAAGTAGGTTCTTAGCACAATCTTTCAGGTAAGTGCATAGAAGCAACATTCCTAGTACATAAATAGAACGTCCAAAAATGAATATTTCAATCGAAACAATCTTAGAATATTCATTAAACATTCCTAAAAGAACATTCCAAAAGCACTTTGAGGTTATATTCTGAGAATATGATTGTTTTTTCACTGTTATGTGGGAAGGTACTTACATGGTCAGATTTTTCTATGGGAGAGAGATGTTCATATTTTGTTGTAAGGTTCTGGTCGTTGACTATTATAAGGTCAAGAAATGAGTGGGTTTGGTCACAAGCTGGTGTAGGCCCTCATTTGATAGAGTCTCACCCAATATGGGGTTCCATCCCTTAATGCACCCAGATCTGTAATTGGCCATGAGATATTGGGAAAGTTGAAATCATCTACAATTACCAAGTTTTTGTTTTCTTATGCAAGATAACTAATCGTGTTCGTAAAGAGAAGTGTATCTTCTATAGAGGATCCCGGTTTGGCGGTAGATACACATCAGCACGAAAGAAAACCCAGGTGAGCTCAGAAGTAATGCCAGAATGTCAGTGCCCACCACAGTTATCAGGTCTACTATAAGGTCTGTTTCTGCAGGAATCACAAACCAGTCAGAGTGAATTTCATTGGTTGAAACGAGTTTTCTGACTGTTTCTGACTGTTTTCAACCAATGAAATTCGCTCTGACTGGTTTGTGATTTCTGCAGAAACAGACCTATTGTTTAGCTGTTCAAGATATGTTGGTTGAGGTAAAGGCACACTGCACTGTTGCGGTGTGTCAGTCTGTCTGATCTGTATATATTGTAGTTACATATATCAATTAGTGACTTAGTTATTGCGTCACTCTCTTTAAGCGAAATTTCTGAGATAGAAAATAAAGATATCTGGGAGAACGAGTGTTCCATCTTTCTCAATAATATGCAAATGATGATATGATATAAGTAACAAAGACAGAACACTCGTTCTCCTGGGAACGTTGCTCCCCTGTTTCAAGAATAAGGATCCTCTGGAGTGTTGTTTTGGATGAAGCCGGTGAGATCATCATACTTTGTGAAGATTAAAGCAATGTTGGTGTAAAAAATAGACAGACGGATTAAGTTGCTTAGTTTTTTGATAAATTACCTGAGTTTATAGGTACGATTCACAATCGTTGGTGTTCGGTTTATGTATTTGAAGGTAGAATCCAGATGAAAATGACAAAAATCTTCAAAGCTTCTTATCCTTAAGAATGAACTATAGTTTTACAACTAACGAAAAGAAGAGCTTGTATTGTCTGAAATGCATAAGCCCTATGACATAATAATGTCAATTTTTAAAACTATATCCATAAAACCAAATCAATCTACATACTCGTGTAGAATTTTGCTAGTTCCAATTTTGGTATAGGTTTGTTATAAATCAGTTGAGCTTGAGATTGACATTTACCACCTACTCCCAGAAGCAGTTGATGATGAAGGTGTAACTCATTATACAGGGTGTCACGAAAGGTTTGTTACAAACTTCTAGGGATGGTAGATCTCGTAAAAATTAAGTTTTTTTTTTGATAAACATAATGTCCGGAAATGCTTCACTTTCCAGATACAGGGTGTTAAACTTTGTAAAAAAAAGCCAATTTTTTCATTAATTCTTAGAAATGCGTTGGACGAATTAAATGAAATTTTTATAGTTTGTTGACACCTTTATGAGGTATCTTTTGGACTACTCAGAGTTGACTCAGTTATTCCAGGGACGTGCCACAGGTTCTGTCGGATGGTTTTGTGCACGGAAAACATCGTCCAGTAGATTTATTTTCAGTTAGGATATGTTTTTTGAATAGAACACCTAAAGATACAACTTTTTTGTCTCTTCATTTTTTTCCGTATGCTGCTTTGTTTTCGAGATAAAATATTAAAACCATTTCAGGCGAACCACGAACGTCACTGACCTCCATAAATAAAAAATAAATTGCTACAGAATTACCTGAAATTTTACCAGGTTATTTGTTGCTTAGAAATAAACAAAAAAAAATCAAAAAACTTTCTCTAAAACGCACGCACCTCTCAGAATTAATGTAAAAATTGATTTTTTTTTACAAAATTTTACACCCTGTATATCTGATTTATCATCAGCTTTATTTTCACGAGATCTACCATCCCTAGGTAGTTTGTAACAAACCTTTCGTGACACCCTGTATATACCTACTTACCCAATTCAGCGTGATCATAAAATTGGGTAGCAAATGATTGAGGTTGAGATAGTAGTTAACAATAATTATCAAGCTATTGTAATGATTTATCAATTATTCCAGAGCTCGATCTTATGACAGCTATGATTTATATTATTGCTTCTGATGGTTCCCTTCTTCGGCTTCTTCTACCATTTTTAAGGCTCCAATATTGGGCAAATATCGGCGGATTTCTTCTGACGAAACGATAAACGAAAGAGTCGTGATGGATTTGATGATATTTTTACGTTGAAGGCAACTTTTTATTTTATGGTACCTAATTGCAGTACCCAAGCGTTTTGATAGAAAACCCGTTAAAAATCGAAAACGAATAGAACATAAAAACTAATTAATGACTGTTTTATATGCTTAATACGTGTCTAGTAAGATGAGGTTAATTTAAATTGGAAAAAAATCTTAGTAACATTTTTTTTATAAGCGATTCAACGCTCCCTTAATTTAATCAACAACGCATGTATATTTGGTTGTAGCAGTTGGTTAATTAATATTTAATTTTATTAGATCACGACCTTTTTCGTATCACATTTCGATTAAACCATGCAGTACTATTTTTACACGGGATATTGTTCTGGTCGAATTTCATCGAGTGCGGTAGTCTAGTATTTAGTTATAAGTTGAAAATGAGTGGCATTTCAGAAATTCGGATGAATATATTATAATATCGTGTCTGTGATAAAAATGTTTAACTCGATGTTTAAAAAATACAATAAGCAAAAACCAGCAGAACTGAAATTGAATTTGTACAGGACCGCTTTACAAAATTCTTTTGATAATGCTTATCGTAAGTAAAAATGGGCAATTACTGAACAAACCCACATTTGTGTCAAAAAATATATGTACCAGATTAGAAAATAGGTTATAAAAACTTGACAAAAGCATCATAAGCATTTTAAAAATAATTCATCATGCAAATTATCAGTGTCACAGAACCTCAATACTTACATATTCCACGAATGCCATCATAAATGCCTCCCAGTTTCATACCTAAGTATTCTTATTCTCCAACAAGTCCTGCCTGCCCTATTCCTGTACAATCGCAGTGGAATTCGGGTGCCACTGATCGTTCCGCTAAATTCAATCGTCCAGTAAAATATATCAAAGATGTCGAAGGTACTTATCCAATCAATATATTCTAGTGTTAACATTCTTTTCATTTGTTACAGATGAAATGCTCGAAACTGAAAACAGAGGGGTGGCTGGAAGGGTTGCAGACCTCGAAAGGAAAGTCTTGGAACAAGGAGATGAGCTCGTATGCCTTAAGGTAACTAATATTTTTTAATAATTTAGCACAAGCATACTTTTAGAGTAACTTGTGAATTTATTAAAATACATTATGCTTATGGAGATGACGAGTAATAATTGTTTGTTGAGCAACATGCCAGGAATAGATTTGAGTTTTTAATATCAAAATTTGTTTATCATTTCTATCTGTGTCACATTACCAAGCCAATAGTCGATATATAAATTAGTAATCATAATATTTTCAAATGGCAAAGGAAATTCAGTGATGAGGGAAATCTGAGCTTTTAGAACAGCCAACCATTCCCTGCCAAAATACTAATCTTATAGTTGTATGTTATAGGGTTTCCATATCACACAACAGAAAATTAATAAATAGTGAACTTTTTCATTTCATAGCTATTTCGACAGTTAAGGCAGAAGTCAGTAAGCCCATACGATTTTTTTCTCCAGTTGATTTCAACAAAACATTTTGTGTTTGTCTTAGACTCAAAATTCTTGTTGTTTCAATATTGAGTACTTTTTTCACCCTGATAATTTGATGCGGTCTGCTGCGGTCAGGCTAGACGGCATGTGTTCATTGCCGATAGGCGACGAACAAGTGCAATACCAAACATCATCTTCAAATGCCTGAATCCTAGCAAATTAAACAGAGTGTTATATCTCCCACATAATCGTTATCATCTATACATGGTGAGTAACTAAGCGCGCGGTGGTCCATATCTCCTATACGAACGAAGATCGGAGAAAAAACTAAATACAAAACTTGTAGATAAACATGAGTACTACATTCCTAAATTATTTTCCAGTAAAAGGGTGGTCCAATAAATAGTAGTGACACAAAGTTATGTTTTTTTAAATGACTCCCCCTGTATATTAGACATTTCTGGAGTCTGCGGAAAATTCTAGAAATATTTCATGTACAATGTCATACCTATCTTCAACTGTTTCGGAAATATTGACAGTTGAAAACTGACTTTTTTGCATCTTTGACAGACTGTAAAACCTGAACGGTTAATTTTACAAGAAAAGGAATTTCACATTCCTATCTTAGTTTTTCATAAACTATCATTTGGCACCAATCTTGAATTTAACCCATGATTAAAAATTCCGCCTAAATTATTAATCTTCGGTTAAATTCAAAATTGGTGTCAAATGATAGCTTATGAAAATCCAAGACAGGAATGTGAAATCCGTTTTCCTCTAAAATTAACCTTTCAGGTTTCACAGTCTGTCAAAGATGCAAAAAAGTCAGTTTTCAACTGTCAATATTTCCGGTAATTAGACACCTCCAAAAGTCCAAAGGTCCAGGTTCTAATGTCATATATTCCCCTTCTGCTGCTTCAAAAATGTCTCCACTTTATCTCAAAACCCCTGTGCAAATTGTTTCAAAGATCTTTCATCAGGGTTACTTTCCAAACTGCTAGCAAAAATCAACTATTTTTCCAATTTTCGAATCCGGCGACAGGAAAGATGTTAGCAATTACAGAGGAATTTCCCTATTGTCAGCTATCCCTAAACTACTAGAGACCATCATTTCAGAAAATATCCTTGAAACATATAAGGACCATAAAGGACGAGCAACGTGGCTTCAGGGTCGATCTACAGCGATAAGCTTGGCCGTTTATCAGAACTACCTGGTCCATTCACTGGACGCTGGTCATACAGTCGACGTCATTTTTATCGATAATAAATAGTGACCCATGGGAAATAGTTTAATGGATTCATGTCGGGTGATCGCGGGGGCCATTCGATGAAAACACGCCTTCCAATCCATCTTCCGGGAAACACATTGTTGAGGTGTTGCCTCACCTCATGCGCATAGTGAGGAGCTCCATCTTGTTGCAGCCAAATAGTATTGTTTGGGATATTGTCATTGTCTGAAAGATTCAAAAAATTAAATTTCAAATTTGAAAGGCAATTGAAAATACTTGGATTTGGAAATTTCCGAGCCAACTCAGGTATACTATTTCGCAGTAAATTAAAATACCATTTAACTTTAAATAATGAGGATTGATACCTGACTAGTTTCTACAATTATGCCTATTCACTTGTCCATTAATGAGAAAAGTAGCATCATCGCAAAACATAACATTATTTAAAAAATTTGGATTGTAACATTTTCCCATCATTGCGTCTGCAAACTCTGCTCGTCTATCAAAATCGTCGTCTGACAACTCTTGAACCAATCTTACTTTGTATGGATGAAATTTATTATCACGTAAAATTTTCATAACGGACTTTTGCGAAATATCAAGTTCCGTGGATATTTTTCTAGTACTAAAGCGTGGATCGTCTTCTCATGACACAAACATCTAAAGATTTGTTTTCAGTTGATGCAGTCTTCTTGCGCCCTGATTTGAGTAAGTCTTTTGACTTTTACTGCACCAGTTTGAGTGAACTTTTCCACCAACTTAGTCACAATAGATCTTGTTATGGGATTTCGGTTGGGATATCAATTATTAAAGATATTACACGTTTCCTGTTGACTTCTACGCACATCATCATATCCTAATATCATTAAAATCTCAATTTCTTTTTTTTTCAGATAAACGATCCATGGTGAAATTTAATAAACACCAACAATAATTGGTTAGTTCGAATTGAACTGCGCTCGCGCATTTGTTTTGAAACTTCAAAATTATTATTGTTGTAGTCATAAGTCATAGAAACATTCACATACATGACGTGATGCGCGCGCGACGAGATCGCGAAATGCATGAGACAAGCTAATATATTATTTCAACTTTGGTGGTTTTTAATGTTAATGTACCTATAATTCCGAAATTATGGCATTTAGGATTTAGGTATAGGAAATATAACATGAAAAATATTCAGTATTTCTCAGGAATTTCAAAAACAAAAAAATATACGGGGTGATCCATTTGAGAAAAACAAAGTTTCTGATATTTTCCGAAAAACAAAAAATCTGACAACCATGTAAATACTACCATAATATCGGCCATATTACAATACCCTTTCACACCAAAATTCATAAAAATCGTGCAAGCCGTTTTTGAGATAATTGAGACGTTCCATACTTAAAACTCACTCTGTATAAAGGAAGGCTCCCAACATAACTTCCAGTTCATTATTCTCGAACGTACTTCCTACCCGCTGGACGAGGTGATGTAGTGCTATTTTAGTTGAGGTTTTAGCTTTGTAAGCATATTGGTCCTGAAGTATTGGTCTGGTAGCCAATGCGCCACCCTGAATGTGGAGCTCAAGTAGTTTTTTTCGCACCTTCAACAAAAATGACATAAGGCTTATGGGTCTCAGAGCTTTTGCATTGCCCTGTCCTATTTTGCCAGGTTTGGGGATGAAAACAACTTTGATTTCATGCACTTTTCTCTTTTTTCCTTGAAGATTAACTTTCACTAAACTTAACTAACACTTGAACGATCAGTTCTGAGGCAGTTCTTGCCTTGATCTGAGTCGGCTGGATAAGGCATCTGCGCTTTCATGCAGTTCAGCAGAGCGACGTTGGCTTAGAAAATTGTACAGCTGCAACGTCTCACGCTTAAAATGTCTTCTTCTTCTGCAGCAGTAGCATTCAGTTCCCTTCCAAGTTCATCTGTTTAATCCTGGTAACAACATTCCGTAACTCTTCAAGAATTTCCTGCATTCTGTGTTTAATTTTCCCCATTGGCATTTTTCTCCTTGTATTGGCATTGCTCTGATCTTTGGTTTGGATATCATTAATATCGACTGATATTTTGTTCACCTATTCCAAAATTACCTACGTTCTTTCGTCATGGAAGTTGGGCTTTTTGCCCATACCAATAAATACCTACTGTATCCTGCACTATATAGGTTCTGGCGCTCTATAAACCAACACTGAGACAAACACTAGAGTACCATTTCCAAGTATATTTAAGAAGAAGTTTAAGAATGAAGATCTCTTCAAAAAAAATTGGTATTGTTGTTAATCAAAAGTTTTCAGTTTGCTGGAGCATACTATGTAGTATAAACAGATAACAATATGTATTTCTTGTATTTTCGTCGTAAAAGCTGGCTAGTATCAAGAAATATTTACTTTAAACAGTTGCATTTTTCCAAGTTGTTCGTGATTGTAGTAGAAAAGTGAAAGTCTGTGGAGGATTGTAAAGATTTTCGCAAATTGTGATTTTTTCGAGGTTAGATCTCGTCATGCTATCCACCTGCGCTTCCTACTCCCTAGATTTGGGTAACGATGATAAGCAAATTGTTGCTTGTGATAGCTGTAGAAGTCGAACGACACACATGGCTGAAAAGTGATCGGGGTTGTGTGTTGTATCAGAAGCCAGAGCAATGGTTCTGCAAAAGCGAACCCTTATGCATTTCTGCCAAGAGTGTCGTGATGCTTTTAAGAGTGTACCAATTATGGTTAGGAAAATAGTTGAGATGGAAGAAGAAATACTCACTCTTAAGCAGCAAGTCATTACTCTGGAGGAAGTGAAGCAACGAATTGCTCGAGCCCAAAACTTGCTCATATACAATATCCCAGAATCCAACTCGTTGAATCTCGAAGAACGCATCAGCTATGACAAAACCAAAGTCTCCGGAGTATTTGAGAAAGCTAAGTATACAAGGGGAATTTTCTTTGATCCAGAAAGTTTTACGTGTGGGAAAATTGAGAAGTAACACTACCAAAGGAAGACCTGTGAAAGTCATTTGTGGCTCAACTGATAGTACTGATACTGTCAAATTGGCAATCAAATCAGTTAATAAGCTGATTGGGTCCACATACAAAATTTCAAGGTATCAAACACACCAATGCAGCAGGAGGCCTATAGGAACGCAAAGACATTGCTGGATAGTAGAAAGGCTGCAGGTGAAGATAACTTGATAATAAGATACCGCAATCGCCTACCTGTAGTAGAAACAAGACAATACAAAAAACATGTAACTACCCCATTACAGTTCTATTATTTTCAAAATGTAGGTGGTCTGAGGACCAAACTTTCAGATCTCTGTAAAACTGTGGCTTGCTGCATGTAGGTATATTATTGCCTGGTCGAGAGTAACCTAAATAATGAATTCTCAGACAGCGAAATAATCAAATGTGATGGATTCAGCTTATGGGTATGGGATGACTGTGCAATATCCTGGCGGTGATATAGCTATAGATGTGGCCCAGTTTTTTAGTTAAGTACTTGATATTAAAAGTTGAATGTTACAAAGGCCAGGGACCCGCCACTTATAAAATCGAGTATGCATCCCCAAGCAGCACTCCCATGTTGGGCCAATATTGGGACAATAACTACGATTTATTGGCCCAAGTCAGATTCTCTATGTTGGCCCAATAAAAGATGTGGACATTCTGCAATATTTGTCCAAGAACGTATGTCAATATATACCCAAAAACAAATACCAAACGTTGGTACAATAACGTAACCAAATGTTGGCCCAAAAAGAAATAATCAATATCATATCAAGAACTTTATGCAATATAGAGCCAATCGAAATTACCAATATTGGCCCGAAGACGTATGTAAATCTTGGCTTTATATTATATTTAATTAAGGTAACGGACCAATTGTAAGGACCGACTAAGAAGTGTTTTCTCTCTGCCGGACCATCCGTGGAGCCGTTTCGCTGTATCACAACTCATCAGCACGGTTAAGTCCCGCCAGGGTCCCGCAGAGAGAAAACAACCAATCTAGTCTCCATCTATTTTTTGGTCGGCACACCAAGTGCGCACATTGAATACCCTATATTGGACCAACATTTTCAATTCAGACAATCTAACCTTGGTAAAAATTAGTATGTAAATATTGGCCCTTCATTGGGCTTTTCAAAAAGTATCAATATTGTGAAGAAATTGAAAATAAATATTGGGTGTACAAAGTTTTTGAAGTGAATTTAAATTTCAATAAAAAATTGAATGCCAATATTGAATTAATATTATATTACAATATTGTTTCGATAATATAAAATGTAATATTTGGCCAATATTTCATAAATCAATATTGTAGTGAGAAGTCTTGGGCCAATATTCAAATTACTGAAAAGTTAATTAATCTATGAAAACAATATTTTTTTTTTTTTTTACGGATATGCGCACTCGCAAGGATATGTCCTATCACGCTCGAGAAGCGGCAAGTGCGCGGAAATGTCGGTGTATGTTGGTCTTGAAACGGTTCAGGTTGTAACCTGCAGGGAAAACCGTCGCAGGGAGTTTATTCCACAGCGATGCTGTTCTCCAGAGATATGAATTCTGATATAATGAGGTTCTTGGTGCCTCTAGTTTGACAGTAAATTCATGGTTACCGTCTGTTTGACGGGTTCGCCTGGTAGGTGCTACTCTCGGTGGAATCATACGTGCCAACTCTTCAGAGCATTTTCCGTGATAGTACCTGTAGAAGAGAGATAAATCGCCCACAGATCTGCGATGTTCGAGACCATCCAAGTTACGAGTAAGTGCGGGGTCATTGATCAGCTTGATAGCTCGTTTTTGCACGGTATTCAAAAGCATTAAGGTATGTTTGGGTGCTGCACTCCATATATGTGAGCAGTACTCCATAGTTGGTCGAATCTGGGCTTTGTAGAGTGTCAGCAATTGGCTTGGTGTGTACAGATGTCTTGTACGAAATAGCACCCCCAGCTTTTGGGACGCCCTTTTAGCAATATCTGCCACGTGACTGTGCCAAGACATGTTGGTCTCTGCAGTAACCCCCAAGATGTTCAACTGACTCTGTAATGTGACAGCACTTCCAGATAGCATGATGTTTGGCTCACCGGTGCTGGTCTTTTTTGAAAACAGAGCTGCTTGGGTTTTCTGCGCGTTGAACTGTACAAGGTTTTTGTTACCCCAGTCCTCTATTATCTCCAGGTCGTTATTTATCTGCGATATTTGAGTTAGTCTAAGATGATGGAATTCACGGTATTGGTACAAGATTATTTTTAAATATTGTTTCCACATAGTTAAAACTAACGTTGCCCCAATATTGGTACTGTGTTGATTTAGCAACAAAAATGAATAAATATTGGCCCAAAAGAAAAACGATGTTTACCCCATATTATGTGCTACTTGGGTCATAATATCTATGAATGTACAATTTCTGAAGAGGTTGAACCAGATGGTTTAATATACAATGAATTCTACTATGATTTCAGAAAAATTTTATCCACTGGCATAGCTTATTTTATTCCTCTCAAAACGTACAAAACTTCTTTTCCCAAATGGTTTCCTGCCGATCTTCGTAATATGACACTCCAGAAAAAGCAAGCTCACTCTATTTATCAGAGACTGAACTAGTGCTAATTATCTTTTTTTCAGTTACGTTCAGAATGCAAAAAAACTATCTGAGGTGTGCTTTAAAAATTATATCAGAGGTTTGGATTTAAATCTCAGAGATGACCCAAAATTTTTTGCAGGTATATTAATGACAAAAGATCATGTCATAGGTAATAATTTACTCAGAACCACAGAACACATATCCTCACGGATAGAAAAAAAAGCTTAATGGAGGGCGGGGCCTAAAAAAAAAGTTTCGGATCGCATCCGCTTGGGGACGCTGGAGTGAAACAGAAGTACAGGTGCGGAATGAACGCCACCAAAAAATATGTCACAGTTTACCTGTTACCTATGTTTAAAAAAAATATGTCAAAATAGTTCTGAATGAGAATTCGTCTTGGTGTTAGTGTGCATTTTAAATCCAGATAAATGTTTCCTAAATTCAAAAAAAAAAAAATCAGATTTTATACAAAATACAAGAAGTTTGGCCGTTTTTGCTCTACTCGGAAGAAAAATCCGTCAATATTCAATAATGAGGAAAAAGGTTTGTTTGGACTTCAGTTCAAAATCAGTTCTAAGGCCCAGTTGTACAATCTTGGTTCAGAACAAAGTTCAGCTGAACTCGACTGGTACTTGAACTTCCCCCTTTGAAATGCATTGCTGTCAAAAATGATAGAATTTGATTAATAGCTGACAGCAATGTATTTTAAATGGGAAAGCTCAAGTACCAGTCGAGTTCAGTTGAACTTTGTTTTGAACCGAGATTGTACAAGTGAGCCTAAATTGGACTGCGCTTGCGCATTTGGTCATATCAAACCTATGTAAAAAAATGCGAAAGCATAGTTCAATTCTGAACTGAAGTCCGAATAAATCTAATATTAAAAATATTGACATTGGAAGAACTATTTTGAAAGCTGATTTGATTACAGAAACCTTTATTATAAATAGTTCGGATCGCATCCACCGCGCCGTGACGGCGCATTGTTCCCCAAAATTTTATTAGGCAGTTTGCCTTCTATCCGTAAGGATATGTATTCTGTGCTCAGAACTTTGTCATATGGAAATCAGTCACATCAGTCAGCATCTATGGTCAAGATATTAGATGCTGTGATTAGCCTATCCAAAACACGTGACTTTGACAAGCTAACAAAGGGTTTTAAAGGTTTGTGTGCCTCACAGATTAACGCGGACATTTTAATTTAAGTTTAACAGCATCTTGAAATTGTCAGCCTATCCAAAACACTTGACTTTAACAAGCAAACAACGGGTTTGTGTGCCTCTTGGAGGACATTTTAATTTAAGTTTGACAGCATCTTGGATAGTCTAATGCAAATTTTATATCCTGAAATCTGGAAAGTTAGATATTGTGCTCATCTTCAAAAGTGGTAAAAAAGATAACGTAGAAAATTATAGAAGCGTCTATGTGCAATCTACTATTCCTAAGCTATTCGACTGTCTTGACTTGTAGGTAAGCAATTGACATCGATGGCTAAAGGACTAATTACAGACATTCAACATGGTTTCTTACAAGACAAGTCCACTGCTACAAATCTATTAACTTACCAGTCAGACCTCCTACAAAACATGGAAAGCAGAACACAAACAGACGCCATATATATGGACTTTTGCAAAAGCTTTTGATCACAAAATTCTACTACAAAAGCTTCAACACTTGGGCTTCAATTTTAGTTTAGTTTTATGGTTTGAAAGTTTTCTGACAAATCGCACTCAGCATGTTGAGATAGGGCGTTTTTACTCAGAATCCATTTCATTTTCATCAGGAGTCCCTCAAGGAGGTCATTGTTCATCACTTTTATTCAATATTTTTATTAATGATATATTACCAGACTGCTTTATTAATAGTAAGTGTGCTGCATTTGCAGATGACCTCAAACTATGGAGAACCGTTGAAAGTATTTGGCCAAAAACTTCTGCAAGCAGACCTAGACTACCTTCCAGATTGGTGTGCAAGAAATAAATTATTTTTGAATGTCCGCAAATGTCACTGTTATAAGTTTTACCCGCAAAGCTGAAAGATTTCCATCAGTCTATCATATCAATTATCAGCAGCATAGAATGTGTTACATCTGTTAGGGACTTAGGATCACTGTACCGCTCTGTCTGGTCACCATTTTTCCAAATTCATTCCCAAACATTAAAGCGAGTTCAACTTTTTTTTTTAGGTTCCTGAGAGTTTGTGCATTCAAAAGTGGCATTCGCATTCCTATTAATGGTCATGATTACAGTGACATAAAACAACAGCTGATGTTAACTCCTGATGTTTGGTTATATATTTGTTTTTAAGATTATCCAATGGTCTAAGAGATTGCCTGTTCTCTTAAGTCAGATCCAGCTCAGAGTGCCATATTATCAGGGTCTACGACACCAATGTACCGTTAATGTTCCTTACCATAGAACCACTTATGAAAATAATAAAAACCTAACCAATATGTATTGTATGATCTAACTTTGACGAAAAATGAGAAGAAAACTTGACCATGAGTAAAACTAAACTCTCCTATTATTGTTACAGGCCACCTTAGCGGAAGTCCTACGCAGACTGAACATCCTAGAAGGCATGAGAAATAACTCCACAACACACTCGACCCCATCAACGCCAGTTAGAATAAACGGGAATGGATCTTATAAGGATTTACTAAGAAACAAAACTACCAGTTATTCTGCCTCAAAAGTTGAAACCACTCAAAGAAAGTAAATACTCATGTTTTGAAATAGAAAAGTAAAATTTTGCTAAAATTGTTCGTTGATATAGGTATTCTGGTTCCTCTCTTCCTCAAAGACGAGCCGTTCACTATCAGTCAACAGGGAGTCTACATTCAGATAGTCAAAGCTCAAGTAGTGTTAGTCCAATACCTTCGCCTTCTCCAAGAGCGACTCCTCTACCTCTTAATCTTAGAAGACCAATATCGGTTACTAGTAACAGGTATGCAAAATTTATATCGTATTACAGACTTCTAGGATAGATATACTTTCTCTATTAATTTGCTATGTTAGAAGAATCTTTCTTCAATCGTACAACGTACAAGTAATAAAAAATTCTAATTGAATTTGGCATTAAGTCTTTGGTATTATACATATTTTCATTGTATTTTCCTTATATTTGGGCTAGTAAGTAAATCCTTCAACTAACAGGCTTTTTATTCAAAATCATTTCCAATATAGAGATCTGATTTTCGTTTTTGAAGACTAAAAAATATTTATGAGAGTCTTCAACAAGGCAAAAAGAGTTTCCCATTCTTATGGAGCAAAGCATCTCCAAAGGCAAAAATAAACCCATATTGATGAAAATTGATTTTTGTCTTTGAGTGTTGAAAATTACATTACAATATTTCCCGAATAACACACTTTTGTGTATAAAAATTGGTCTTTTATTTTCACACTCATGTTCAATGAAACTTTGATATATATGTGTATCTATCTTTCGTAGTTTGTACCAGCTATGCATCAACACCCTTTTTCAATCATCATTTTTTTTTATTACTATTTTTTTTTACAAGTAGTAGTTCAAGCACGCTTACCTCAAATAATTCCCTTCATAAACGATGGAGCTCTACAGGGGATTTTAATCAGAGCGGCGTCACAGGAATGCAAAGCAAGTGAGTAATAATAATTGGTTTGAACTTACTTTATCCTTTTTATTTTTTTTATTTTTTTTATTTTATATTTTAGATTTTCCACAAAGTCATTTTTGAACTTATTTAAATCCAATAATAATTTATCCAGTCCCAACTACAAGCACGGGTATGTTTTTTTTTTTATTTATGTTTATGTTTTTTTATCTCTCAAATTATCTTCATTGTGTTTATTTTTACGTTACATTGTCTCGGATAATTTCACATTCATTGAGCAAATACAAACGAGGCTCAAATTAATTCGCTAATGGATTTGAAACAGTTTTGTTTAGCGTGAGTTGTAATTGTTATTTTTTCATTAGATAAGGGATAGTAAATGTCGCATTTCTACTGCAATGTCAAGTTACGTTTCAGCTATAGGAATGGTTTTTATGAAAATGTTTGGATCAATTTGACTTTATGATTCTTATTTTTGATATCGAAGTGTGTATTTGTTCCGCCAAAAAGCCGAATTCTCGGTGATCTACCTAGATCAATTTTTGTTTATTTTTCTTGGTAGGTATAACCTATACTACTGTGATATTTTCAAGGATTCTTGTTTATTAAGTATACTAGGTATCTTTTAATAATAGCTTATTGACCAATTCAACCCTATAATGTATAATGGGATTATATTTGATTATTTCATTCATTTGAAAATAGACCCATCAAACAACGTCATTTTTTGAATGAATTTTGTTTAAATAAGTTCACAAGACCTTATTTATCAGCGATTAAATTTTTGTTTACCTTTTTTGACAGAATTTTGATAGAAATATTCTGACATGACTGACTTTTTGGCAAATATTTTCATGCACAATAACTTTAAAATAAAAATTATTAAGTTATTGTGCATTCAACTATTTTCCAAGCAAAATCATGCTCAAAATATGTTGGATAGTTTAATCGATTAAATTTAAAGGTCTTGTGATATAATAAATGATTATTTCAAAAGGATGTACCTATACCTAGTACCTATGCCTACCTAAAATCCAATTTAAATAATTCCTAATAAAAAATAGTTAAATTTACATTAACGCTACGCTCTACTGCTCTACCTAAAAACACACACACACACACACACACACACCACAAAACTGAAATTGTTTATTGTTAGATTCGGTCGGGCTTAATGCAAACAAAAATATAAAAATATATTCATTTGGTGAGCTGTGTTTGTCTGGGGTGTGTCATATTGGTTTTTGATATCAGGCAATTTGGTTTTTTTTTTTCAAGTCAAACTGTAGTAGTTTAGTAGTTACCATATTGAGGTTCTTAGTTATTAGAGTTTTAAGGCCCCGATAAGTGTTGAATATCTAGTAGTATCGGTACAGACATTGAGAAAAGATGATTAAAAAATCAAATGGACAAACGCAAAGAGTAAATAGAGATGTTAAATTAAGGTATTAACATAAGATAAAAATAATTATTTTCAAATTGCATTTTTAATTCCTTGTTTATTACAAGCTTTATAACTAATAGGTTTTCCTTATTTTAACTCAATCCTATTCAGTTTTTCAGCTCATCATTTTAAATTTTTTTATACACATATTCACCGTTCTCATCATTGATTCTATGGTTTCGACATTCCACTTATGCATCTCTTCTCTTTTTAGGACGAAAGATGCCACTTTTAATGAAGAAGAGAAATCGATTAAAATTTTTCTAAGGGGAAGGCCGATCATTTTGTATGCACCAACAACCATTGGCGATAATTATGATATTACAAAGGTAAGTCTACATTAATTAACTCTATTTTGCTAGTTCTGTAACAAAAATTGTTCAACCAACTTCAACCAAACAACTTCAATTAAAATAGAATGTTAATTTAGACGGGGTCGACTCAAAACGAATAAACATATTAGAATTAAGTCATATTCTCAAATCCCTTCTAAGACCTAAAATTAATACCCATATAGAACTTTTCTGGTTCGAGAATCTCTGCAATACAATGATGGACTAGTCAATCTTTGCAGGCTCATATGGAGTAAAAGATGTGGTGTCATAGAGGCAAAAAGAAAAAGTCTTTTTGCAAAATTGACGAGATCATTTATGTAGATCAGAAAGAGGATGCGATACTCTGTTCAGTCTTTTCCGATAACACCTGATAGTTTTGGCTTTTAACTGGAAAACAATTACTGGGCCTGGTTCAAGAGGAATGACCTGATTAATTGGGGCATAGAAAACTATACGATGCTAGCATTGTATTTGTTTGTTTTATCTATCATTATTTTACTGTAGGAATGGTTTTGTAGTGTCATAATTTCTTGTAGATCAGTATATCAGAAAAAAATATGTACCATGAGGCATGAATCTGCTTCATGGACGGTCCTCAAATACTAGGGTGGCAAGGTTTCTGGTCAGGTGTGTGCCGAACGACTGAGAACTTGATGGAAACTTTATTGAAATATTCAAGTATGGTATTTATACCTGCAAGTCGGTGTACTTCAGTCGTTCGGGTGTCTATTGGCAGGGTTCTTGAGAATTTAGTTTTGGAAGACTTGGAGTTTTTTCTTCTCGGTATTGGATATGTAGCTTCAAGCTGGTGCTCCATAGAGGTTGGGCGTATTATTGACTTGATTTTTTGGGCTTCATGATGGGAGCCAGAAGACGCTCGGCGATTGGTGCCTTTCTGAGGGTATGTGTTACCTGGGGAGTGCCCCTGAGGGTCTTGTCAAGGATCATTCCGAGGTTGTAGTTTTTGGTTCAATTGTTACGTTGTTAATTGTCAGAGGAGTGTTCATGATAGTGTTTAGATGCTTCCTGGTCAGGGTAAGAAGTTCTGTCTTGGTAGTGTTGAGGGTGATTTTCCAGGTCTGAAGATACGGAGTGATTAAATCAATGTGGTTTTACAACGCCCTTCTCGCGTCTTCTGCGAGAAAGGCGCTGGTGTAAATCGCGGTATCGTCCGGCATACATCAGTTAAACAGGGTAGGGGAGTAGGACGGTGTCTTGAGGCACTCCGGCCCGAATCGGTTTGGTTGGAGATAGTGAGCTTTAAAGCAATTAGAGAAATTAGATGAAGTGGTAAGTTATGTGTAGTCAAAAGTTTGCCCTTGTGACAGACTTTGTCAAAGAAAGGCCTTCTCTATGTCGAGTAGTAGTAGAAAGGTGCTTTCTCGGTTGTTAAATGCTAGTGAGGCGTCTTGAGCCACCCTCACTACTGCTAAAGTCGTGTTTTGCTGAGGGCGGAATCCGTTATTGTTCGTTGGGGATGCAGTTCAGGGAGTCTATTGTCGAGGAGAGTCTGCGGAAGATGATTTTTTCCGCAATTTCACTGAGGAAATCTAATTGAAGGACTGTGGTTGGGTCAAGTCTTTGTCGGGTTTTGGGAAGACTATTATTCTCACCTGCTTCCATGGTTGTGGAAAGTTTTGGAGAGTTAAGATCGAATTTATGATTTGCAAGAGATGCATAATAGTTTTCCTGGGAAGGTTTTTGATTAACTGGTTAGTAATTGTGTCGGGTCCGGGCGCTTTCCTGTTTTTAAGTTTCCTCAGTTCACCAGCCAGCTCGGTAGGCGTGACCAGCATCCGCTGGAGAGATAGGGTATTTGTACCTGACAGCGATGTCGTTGATGGAAGTGTGTGTTCCGGTTCTGTCTGGTGTTTCGCTGTAGACCCTGGCGAAGTGGTCTGCTAACACATTCGCCTTGTCGTGCTCTCTGTAGAAACTGGCGCCATCGACCACCAGGTCTGTCTATATCGCGCCCGATTGTCGAAGGTTTTTGGCCAGCTTCCACAGAGAGTTATCTTGGGTTTCCAGTGAGGAAACATAACATACCTCGTTCAGGTCCTGTTCCTGTGATGACGTATACCCGGCCCTCTCTATTTCTTGGCTGAGTAAATTGAGTAGCTGCTTGTGTATTATGCTTGGGCGCCTTTGCCATGCTCGCTTGACGCTATTCCTCTCCTTGATGAGCGCAACATCGGAGTCTGGGATGATAACGTTCCAAGCGTTGAGACGTGCAGGTGTATTTGTGCGTGCTCTCAGTTTTTTTGAAATTAAAGTAGTCTTATCCCAAAGATGAATGCCGAATTTTATACCTATACAAAGGGAATGGGACTAAATGATCCAATTTGTGATTTTGCGTATCAGCTGCATGAGAATATTTGGTAAAAAACTTTCGAACAATGGTAATTATGCGATAAAGTTTTGTGCTTATCAGGTATGATCAATATTTTAACATAAACATTTCTATAAAAAACATTCTAGAACTGAACTGGTAAATTTAGTCTGCTTCTTATCAGCATAAACTTTTTGCTAAATGAATTCCATCACCTGTGGTTCTGGGCAAATGTATAAAAAAATATATAATTCGCAAATCACGGTTTGCTTTTGCTTTCTTGCAAGAAAATAAACAGTGTTGCCGAACTGTATCATAAATCACTAAAATGTCATTGAAGGCGGGAACGAATAAATTTATCTGCTGCAAATGCAAGGACCATTAAAACTGTGCCTGCATTGCGTGCTTTGGAATATTTCATAATAGCTGCATGGACAGAAAGAAATACAGGCATGTTGGAAACCACAGAGTACCTAAGTGAGTGTATTGGGAAGGATAGCAATGACAAAAAACTCAGTGATATTTATTTAGCGAAGATGGATGAACTCAAGCATATCAAAGGACAGGAAGTATTTGAACAATCTAAAGACGAATGGAATGACAAACTATTTTAAGTAACAGGAAAGAATCTACAACTACAGGCAGAAATAAAGGATAAAGATGATTGTATTGCAAGACTAAAAAGAGCTTCAATGTCGTTTCAGAAAGAAGTCCTTGACACAGAACAAAACATGGTTAATACTAATACGCAGACCGAATATAGATCAAAATTAGTCTTACTCCAGGAAGAAATAAATTCACTCAAGAAAGTAATAATTAATAGATCAGCTGAACTAAATAAACCTGACCACAATTTGAAAGAGTTAAATAGAAAACTAAAGAATTTTAAAGACATAAACAACAACATGATTACAACAATAAAAACGCTGGAAGCTGAAAACCTGATTTTGAAAAGATTAATGAAAACATGATCGCGTCAATGGAGGTTGAAAAAGAGTTATTCCATAAGGAGATCAACGAATTAAAAGGCTTAGTTAAGTTCAACAATCGTTGGGTCATAAGAGAAATTTGCATGGGGAAGGCAGGAATATTCACAACCCCTAACGGGACACAAGTATGCGGGCGGTGTACCAACGGAAGGCACTCCATACCCAGAAACATTTAAAGGGAGGGTCTTAATTCTAGGTGATTAGTGTTTTAGAGATTTTGGTGAAATAATTCGTAAAACGGTAGAGGTGAAAAATGTCAGAACTGTCCTTAAGACAAAAGCCTTGGTCGAAGACTTAACCTCAAACATAGAATCTCTAGCAAAGGGAGTTACGTTTATGTATCTAAATTTACTAATGTAATATTGCTATCAATTTCGAAGATAGGAAATAATAATTTTTATCTCGACCAAGTCATAGACAGAATTAATATTGAAATATACAAGATAGTTTTAACAAATGTGAATGTTAAGAATGTAACTTACTTAAATATTAATTATAATATACAGTGCCCGCGGAAAAGTCTGCACCATATAGGAAATTTTTTTATGCTCATCCTTACTTCAAATCGGTTTTCGGCATTAGGTTCTGCATGACTGAAAACCAAAAAAATACCTAAAATTTTTGACTAAAATTTTTGACTCGAGTCTTGCCTCAAATGCCATTTGAAAATTTCAAACAAGGAAAAGTGGCATTTTTATAAAAAATATGAAAAAAATTTATAAGAAAATATTGTTCCAAATGACATTTAGGAGTAGTGTATAAACAAACAATTTGAAATTTCAATTTGAGAAATCTAAAATTTTCAAAATAGTCCAAAGGCGTATCAAAATTTTAATAGAAATATTTCTTTTTGATGTTTAAACTCTTAATTAGATTATTAGGATTTAAGAAACCATTAGTCAGATACAAACTAATTATTTTAGAGGAATGGTCGCGAAAGAAATCCTAAAAATATTATTTTTCCGTAGATATTCGAAATTTTTTTTAAAAAAAAAATCTTTTTTTTTTCAAAGTAAAAATATCAAATTAGACTAAAAATGTCATTTGGAGCAATATTTTCTTATAAAATTTTTTCATATTTTTTATAAAAATGCCACTTTTCCTTGTTTGAAATTTTCAAATGGCATTTGACAGGTGTTAGGTAAGTCTCGAGTCAAAAATTTTAGGTGTTTTTTTGGTTTTCAGTCTTGCAGAACCCAATACCGAAAACTGATTTGAAGTAAGGATGAGCATAAAAAAATTTCCCATATGGTGCAGACTTTTCCGCGGGCACTGTATACCACCCTTCTATGATGAATAATGACTCAAAGCAGGATAAGGTAGTGGCAAGTACAGGGGCTCAGTCTGTTTTAGAAATTAGTGTAAAATGCCACAATACTAACAAGGCGGGTTCGGGAAAGCTTTGATCAAATATCTCATGTAAATAATGTCTGCCCAGCGAGTTTGTGTCTACGGGGCAACGGTAAGGGGAATGCAGTTGTAAAAAAAAATGGCTGATTTCATTCATAAAATACCCAGCTGCGTACGGAACTTTTTGGAAGTGTTATCGTATTGCAACTCGTACACGAAAATCAGCAATGACCAAATCTCCGCCACTGGATATTTCAATATAAATCGATATGCCAAGATGGGAGGATAAAATGACGTGAGCCCTGGCCAATAGCGAGACGTAAGGTGACGTTAGTTTATTGACAACCGTATGGTTCCTCATGACAACGGCGATCCTGCCAAAAACTCCACCAATCAGGTTCATCCAGGACGGATGATTGCCAAATTGTCAAAAGCTGATGGTATCTTTAGAAAATGTTTATTTTTTACAATAGACCAAACTGAAGAAATCAGGATTAAAATAAGGATAGATCTAACAACCACGTTAAAATATTTAGCGTTTTATTATTGTTATCAATATTTTGTTATTAAAAAATGGATTTTCAAATTAACTATACTTCATGCCTAGTAATTTCGCTTTTTTATAATTAAACGTGGCAACATGGCACAGTTACGTCAGAATTCTTTCCGTAGACTCAGATCCACTGGGCAAACAATAGTAATGAATCTGTTTTAGAAATAACTCAAGTAAATACAACATCAGAGCTTTTTTAACCTTTAATATTCGCTCTGTTGCCTCTGTTAGATATAAAATTGATGAACTTTGTATATTTCTTGACGAATTGAACTACCCATAGAACTAATAGTATTGACAGAGCATTGGTTAGAACTCGAGGAGCCTTTCGGCATTCCTGGGTATCATGTTATTCCAAAAAGCTGTACATCGACAAACACTGGTTATGGTGGTACGAGTATATTGGTAAACAGGCATTCTGCTCCATATTTTACGCTAGAAATTAGAAAACATAAATAAATACAACCATTTATGTATAGAAAGCATTTCTGAATTCTCATTGGCATATAATAAGAAAGATAATATCTATATTCCCTGTATCGTCCTCCTGTTACAAATTCAACTGGTTTTCTAATAAGTTTAGAAACCATTTTATTGGACCTACCACCAAATAGTAAAATTGTTTGTACCGGTGATTTTAATTTAGATTACAATAGTGATAATTTGGTTAGTACAGTAGCGTTATAGTTATTAATGATACAAGTTCGATATGAACGCGAGGCGTTAGCCGAGTGGTTTAGTTACACAAGTTTCATTAATAAAGTTCATATCGAACGTGTATCATTCAAAATTTAATCTACAATGGTCCAAATAGATTTGATTTGCCTTGAAATAGCAAAAACTTTTCAAATTAAAATTTGAAATTTAGCAGGTGCCCGTACTAGTCGAGAACCTGCTTGTTGGTTTTTAGAATTTTGACTTTGGCAGCTTCAATATTGGAGTCCATTTTTGTGCCATAAATTCAATTTTATAGTGGAAAATAATATTATTATTGGTGATTCTGAGTTCGAAAGTGTCTCTTCGAATATAGAGACAGCATTATTGAAAAGGTTCTTCTGGCAACTAACTTTCTTTTTGTATATTTTTCATTTCAAAATTTGGGTGTTATTATGAATTCTTAAACGCACTAGTGCTATTATGAAGGACGTAATGACATTCAAATGACAATGCTAAATGTGTCATAATGACACCGACGTAGATTAAATAATCTAATGCTTTCCTATGACTTAAAAATGTTTGTTAACTCTACAACTACAATAATAGATCGGACTGCCACTACCATAGATTACTTTTGTACCAACTTTAGTCATGACAATATAAAGTGTGAGGTCCTTCCCAACAATCTTTCTGACCATGAGGCATTATTTTCCAGCTTTCCCATATAAAAACTATGTATTTGAAAGAGAACCTGCACAATGTAAGCGCATTTTTTCGAGTGAGAACTTTATCAATTTTAGGAAAAGGTTGGTGTGATAAATTGGGAATTGGTGCTCGACTGTCTGAGTCGACACCTTTCACTTAGTTGTACAAAAAAATTCTCTCTAGAGAGCTTTCCGTTCCGCAGGATGAGACACAGAAAAAAGGAAAAAAAGTGGATAACTCGGGGCGTTAATATTTCCTCACAAAACTTTGGATCCTTGTGCGTAATACGAAAACAATGATTTTTTCGTTAACTACTTCCGGACATACCGTAGAATCTACAAGAGTATCATTAGGACAGCTAAACAAAAATATTATGAGGACAGAATTAATAACTGACAAAATAAGTCTAAGGAATTCTTGGGCTATTGTAAATGATCTTAGGAGTAAGAATAATGTGTTAAGGCAAACCGCCGATATGAACGTTGACGCTTTGAATATTTTTTACTGCACAGTAGGAAAAAATCTGGCTTCAAATATCAGATCAGATTTGGATGCAAGATGCAATGAAAAACTTATTCAGGGCATATGTTCGGAAGACCTTTGTACAGGTTAATACAGACAAAACTGAAATAAATTGATATTGAAACGAACTCTGCAGGTATCCTAGACGAAATGTCAAAAAAGATTTTCCAAGATCTGAATGATGAAGCTTTGAAAGCACTGGCGCACTCAATAAACAAAAGTTTTGTAGACGGTGAATTCCCCGACATCTTAAAAAGTGCCTTAGTTATTCCTTTGCATAAGTCAGGATCCTTTACGGACCCATCTAATTTTAGACCAATTTCCCTTCTTATAGCACATTATCAAAAATTATTGAAAAATTGGTAAAGAAAAGAATGATGGAATTTATAGAAAAACATAACATTCTAAGCATAAACCAATTTGCATATCAAAAAATACTAATGATGCTGTTTTTGCATTACTAAAAAGTTTTTATCTTAAACTTAATGACAAGGAGGTTGCGTCTGCAGTCTTTTGTGAGTTTTCGAAAGCGTTCGACTCTGTCGATCATATATTCTGCTGTTGAAGAAAATGGAAATCTACAGTTTTAGAGGCATATCAGGATCTTTCTTCAAATCATATTTAACAAAACGTTACCAAAAAGTTAAAAATGGCACATCATTTTCTTCAACAATGGAGGTCTCTGCAAGGCTCAGTTCTGGGCGTCATTCTGTTTCTCTTGTACCTATATAATTGATTTGAGTCTTCGATCAAGAAACATTACACACAATTTTGATGAAGACAAGTATTTTTTGATAGATGCACAATTTCACTAAGCACCATTTTGTTACAGATTTACATTAAAATAGCACAAATAGCTATTCGATTGACAATATACTCCAAAAATTGTTTCAGGTATCCACAGCCCCTATGCAAAGGCTAAAATTAGACTGGGTATACGGGTATCGAGGCAGAGACTGTCGCTCTAACCTTTACTTTTTACCCACTGGAGAAATGGTCTACTTTGTTGCCGCTGTAGTTGTTCTCTACAATGTAGAAGAGCAGAATCAGAGGCACTATTTGGAGCATACTGATGACATCAAAAGGTAAGCAAGAACTTCCACAGCCTATAGTTTTTAACTGTAATTTTTATGTATGACCAAGAGCAATAAGAGCATTATTTCTGCCTGATATTTTGTTGATATCAATGATATCTAGTTTGAAGTCTTTTCCTGTTTTCATTTATGTTAATATCACCTCGGGTTAATGTTAATACCAATTAGAGCGAGGGTCCAAATAAGGTTGATAGAATAATTGTTATATTCTTCGCTCCTACCCGCCAACTTCACCTGTTCTTTTTGATCCCAGAGTGTCCCCATCTGGTCTGAGGCCTTTGTTTCCTATTCGTAATAATAGGAGTTATTAATCCTCCAAACTTGTATTTCCTACTTGCGTCCTGAAAATGGTTCTGAAGCTCTTTAAGTTTAATAATTATCTTGTATACCTACCCACACCACAAGCGTAATTGAAAAATATCTATGTATATGTATTAAACCATTTTTAGTTTGGCAGTTCACCCGAACAAAATGTTAGTGGCCACTGGACAAAGCTCAGCAAACGACAAAGTCAATGGCAGAGCCCACATTAGAGTGTGGAACTCGATTTCGCTCCACACAATAGCCGTAATCGGTATAAACGACTTTGAAGTGGCCGTGTGTTGTTTGTCCTTTTCCAAAGCCGATGGAGGCTCTCTTTTGGTCGCCGTTGACGATTCAACTGATCACACCATATCGGTATGGGACTGGCAAAAAGGAGAGAATGGCCATAGAATCACTGAGACAAAGGTAATTTTGAAACATTTTTAAATACCTACTGTTATTATAAATATATTCGTTTTAGTGTTCTGTGGATACCATAGTTGCAGCGGAATTTCATCCCTTGGATAAAAACACTGTAGTGACCTGTGGTAAATCTCATATAGCTTTCTGGACTTTGGATACGGGCGGTACTCTGTACAAACGGATGGGAATATTTGAAACTAGAGAAAAACCTAAGTATGTTCTATCAATTGCGTTTTTACAAACTGGAGAAACTATCACTGGTGATTCAAACGGAAACTTGGCAGTATGGGGTCGCGGCACTAATACACTATGGAAAATGATTAAAAGCGTCCACGATGGAGGAGTATTTTCGATATGCGTCTTGAAAGATGGAAGTGTCGTAACTGGGGGAGGCAAAGATAGCAGAGTTGTACAGTTTGATTATAATCTAAGCAAGTCGAATGTAATTAGTCAAATTGAAAGACATTACGGAGGTGTAAGAGTTATATCGGAAGGAAGAGGCTCCCAACTGCTTCTGGGAACTACTAGAAATTGTGTCCTGAATGGTACTCCAGAATTGGGATTCCAACCGATTATTTTAGGTCACACTGACGACTTGTGGGGTCTAGCACCTCACCCTAAGGTCCCTCAATTTGCCACAGCCGGTTATGACCGTGTACTGCAACTATGGGAATCAATGTCTCACAGTATTTTATGGAGCAAAGATATAGGAGAACAAGCTCAGAGCGTCGCCTTCTCACATGAGGGCGCAGTCATTTTGGTGGGATGTGTTACCGGAAAATGGATGATATTCGATGCTCTGAGTAGAGAATTATTGGGTCAGCACGTCGATGGTAACGAACCAATTCAAATAATAAGATTCTCACCGGATGGTTCTATGGTAGCGCTGGGTTCCAGAGACAACCAAATTTATGTATACCAAGTGTCCGATGACGGTATGAAATATAGCCGAGTAGGAAGATGTGCGGGACATTCTAGCTTTGTGACTCATGTTGATTGGGCTACGGATAATCAAACTTTGAGGAGTAATTCCGGAGATTATGAACTTTTATTCTGTAAGTATGAGTTGCAACAATGCAAAGGGAAATGTTTCAGTTCACAAACCATATTATAAATCTATTTTAATATCACATCCTTTGGAGTTTATCCTTGATTTATCAAAGTCCTATGCTATGATGTTACTGTTACTACCCATATCATATAACTCAATATCAAATTAAACAAATGTTTCTTTCCCAGGAGGTGAAAAATCATTTTTCTCTCAATACCACTCTCCATAGTTTTCTGAAATTGACATCCCAGGCTATACGAGAAAATAATATATCTCACACAGGGGATAAAAAGTGGAAGCTTCAGGAACTGAATCACAAATCACAAATTTTCTCTGAGGTCTCTCAATAATCTCATATAGGTGCAAACGATACTTCTATTATTTAGTAGCAATACTAGTTCATCTATGTCCTCTTCGCTGATGTTCTGAAAACGTATAGCTCAATAACTACTGATTTTTTTGTAATTTTAGAAGTGGACTTTTAGAAGTAGATCAATTTTGCTAATTTTTTACGATACATTTTTTCGATTGATAATTATTTGGTTGCAGTTCCTCGTATTTTTGTGTAGTCACTTATTGTTAATATTACTGTATTCTTTTTTAGGGAATGCAGGAACCTGTCGTCAAATTCCCCAAACCAGCCTGATGCGTGACGTCGAATGGGCTACAAATACTTGCCCACTAACTTTTACCACTGTAGGCATCTGGCCCGAAAACGCGGATGGTACCGACGTCAATTTTTGCGACCGAAGTAACGACAAGAGGCTGATGGTCACTGCAGACGATTTTGGAAAAGTTAAGCTGTTTAGTTATCCCGTTATACAACCAAAGGTAAGAGATAAAGCAGTTGATAAATATGTTCATAACGTTTTGACTTTTTTGTTGCAGTCGCTTAGTCATGTCTATGTAGGACATAGCAGCCATGTCACTTCAGTTACATTTTTGCACGATGATTCTCGAGTTGTGTCCATAGGTGGAAAGGATACAGCAGTCCTGCAATGGACAGTGTCTTAATCAAACTGACAACTGAAGTGTGCTTAAACTACAGGAAAGATTTTCCTTGCATTTCGTTTTACAATTAAATAAAAAGAGGCCTTATCAGTTAATTGAAACAATATTTCGCTATTGTATGTTGATAATAAAACTGTGCTATTTATCGTCCATTTTAATAATGATTGTTAACATTCCCATTTTTTAAGTGTGAATATGTTTATGTATTTTAAATTTTGAAAAACTCATTGCAAAGTCTTTTATTTCTGGTTAAATTACAATTTATTGATTAAGTTAAATTAGAAATGTTTTTTTTTTATTTTGAACAAAATTTGTGTAAGTATACTTAACAATTAAAACAAATTGTGCCACGTTTTCTTAAATCTTACAAAATCCCATTTTTAAATAACGTATGTATAACAAAAATGTAATTTTATTTATTCGTAGGTATATTTTTCCGATTACTCTCGTGTATTATTTTATAAACTCTTTGTGTGATAATTAAACTACTCTTATTCTGTTAAGGCGTTTCATTAGCAACTTTTAAAATTTATACATAATTCAAATATGTATTCGAAAATAGGAAAAGGACGTCGACGAAAAAATGCCATCCACTATAAGTTATGTGTGCTATTCGTGGGAACATGCTGACCATTGCATCATCGACATAAGCAGTTTCCTGAGAATTGTGTATCTTTTAAACCAAGATGCCCCATGGGAATAAACTATGTCTATCAACTTAGCGAGACAACTTCGAAAAATCGATTTTCCATTATGCCAAGAATTTGCCGCTTTTTTGCCGCTAATTAAATGTGGAATTAAAAAATTTGCCGCTCTTTTGGTTTTTTCTTAATTACGTGTTTTGCTAACTTGACGTCAAGATAGCGAGACAACATCAATAAATATGTCAGCACTAAAAAACTAGGTACGTGAAAATTTGCCGTTTTTTTGCCGCTAATTAGTTGTAAAAATCAAAAATTTGCCGGTTATTTTTTTTTCATAAAAAATAAAGTTTGAAAAAAAAAATCATTTGTTTCGCTAACTTGACGTCAAGTTAGCGAGACATTATCACCAAAAATGTCGGTAGTGAAAAATTGAGTGAATGGGAATTTGCCGTTTTTTTGCCGCTAATTAGTTGTGAAAACCAAAAATTTGCCGCTTTTTTTTTACAAAAAATCAAGTTTGAAAAAAAAATCATGTGTTTCGCTAACTTGACGTCAAGTTAGCGAGACAATATCACTAAAAATGTCAGTAGTGATGAGTTGAGTGAATGGAAATTTGCCGTTTTTTTGCCGCTAATTAGATGTGAAAACTAAAAATTTGCCGCTACCTTTCTTTTCATAAGAAAATCGTGTTCGAAAATAAAATAGTGTTTTGCTAATTTAACGTAAAGTTAGCGAGATCACTAAAAATGTCGGTAGTGATAAATTGAGTGAGTGGAAATTTGCCGCTAATTATCTCTTTTTCTTCAAGAAAATATCGCGTTTGAAAAAAATATCATGTATTTCGCTAACTTGACATCAAGTTAGCAAAACAGTAAACAGTATCAATAAAAATGTCGGTAGAAAATTTCATTCATCTGTCAAAACTGGTATTCGAACCATAAACTGGGCTCTGTATCATTTGCGCGACAGTCGTTTGCGCGAGGGAGAAAAGCGCGATACTAAAAGCGCGAGGGACAAAAGCGCGACGGAACAAAAACGCGACTGCATAAAAGCGCGAGAAACAAAGGCGCGAGCGAGAAAAGCGCGAGAAACAAAAGCGCGAGGGACAAAAGCGCGACGGAACAAAAACGCGACGGAACAAAAACGCGACTGGAGTAAAGCACGATTGGACAACAACGCGAGGTATCTAACTATCTACGAGGACTGTAAGCAAAAGAGGGACACATCAAATTGTATCGATAATATTCAGAAAAATGCAGCCTTACTCAAACTAACCCATACTAACCTGTTGCCCTAGTGCGATCTAGTCTTCGTTAAATAGAATTTTATTTGAAAAACAAGGCGCGGTCAAGGGACCCGTCGCTATAAATAAATTGACTGTTTTTTTGGATAAAATGCTAACTTATGAGTACTAGATCGCACTAGGCGGACGGGTTATTTTGGGTTAGTTTGAGCAAGTCTGTATTTGCTTTATTATTATTGGTTCAAATTGATGTCGCAATACAGACTTACTCAAACTAACCCAAAATAACCCGTCCACCTAGTACGATCTAGTCCTCGTAAGCATTTTATTTAAAAAAACAAAGTTAATTAACTGATTGATTGCTCAGGGTCTCTTGAGAGCGCAGTGCTTTTTAAATAAAATGCTAACTCACGAGGACGAGATTGCCCTAGACGGACGGGTTAGTTTGAGTAAGTCTACATAATTTTGATATTGGAACAATTTGATGTTTCCCTCTTTTGCTTAGAGGTCGTCGTTGTAAATGTCGCTCTTTTAATTTGTCACTGTTCTAAATCTCGTTCTTTACATATGTCGCTCTTTTGATATGTTGCTGTTTTTTTTAGATGTCGCCATTTTGAATATCGCTGTTCCAAATGTCGCTATTTTGATATATCGCTTTAACAATATGTCGCCTTTTTGATGTTGCTATTTTAAATATCGTTCTTTTTGAACCGGAGCCACGAAAAATATCTTGTATTTTGGAAAACGATCTCCAGTTCTCGTAGTAAGGCACTTCGCGTTCTTGGCCAATCGGGCTTTATCCAGTCGCGATTTTGTTCTGTCGCGCTTTTGTCCCCTCGCGCTTTTGCTTCTAGCGCTTTTATCCAGTCGCGTTTTTGCGCAGCCGTGCGCTTTTGTCCCTCGCGCTTCTATCCAGTCGCGTTTTTGTCCATCGCGCACTTGTCCTGTCGCGTTTTTATTCCGTCGTGATTTTGTCCCTCGCGCTTTTCGTATCGCGCTTTTCTCCCTCGCGCAAACGGTTGTCGCGCAAATGACACAGATCCCATGCATAAACTGGCATTTTTTAATTGTTGATTTCAACCAATCAGATTACGATTACGTGATAATTTGTACTAGTGCAGGATTATCGGATTGGATAATTGCTTACTAACGGGTGGCATTTGACATTTTTTCTGATTGATGACATTTTATACTTACGAGGATGTACTAAAAATTTAAATTTTTGATTCATGAAATTCTCTCATAAAATACAACTCGAGTAATGGAAATATATCTATAATTTTTGAAAAATTTGCTCTCATGCATTTTTTACTGGAAAAGGCACTCGTCCCTCGTGCTTTATTTCAACTAAAAATGCATTCGGGAAAATTTGCCAAAAATTATCGATAATTTCCATTTTATCCCAATTTAATTTTATTTCTAATTTTATTTTATTTTCTGTATAAATGAGCACACGATATTTCGCTTTCTGATTTTTGAAACCTATAAGGCCTCAATAGAGTTTTCCTAAGCTAAAGAAAAAAAAAAATGTAAAACTATTCTCAAAAAATTTAGAAATAAATATTTGCTCTAACAAATGTTGAGTTTCACTTATTAAAGTATACTTACAGGCTGCATAAAAATCAAGGGTGGGAGATCATTTACTTTTACTCACCTAATTTTATACTGCCCTTCGTTTTTTGTGTTGATGTCGATCTAACTTAACGGCAAGCTTGCGAAACACAAGTTTTTCTCAAACACGATTTTTTCATGGAGAAAAAGAGCGGCAAATTTTTGGGTTTTCACATTTAATTAGCGGCAAAAAGCGGCAAATTTCCACAGCTTTTCTCTACCACTCAATTTTTCTCTACCGACATTTTTAATGATACTGTTTTGCTCACTTGATGTCAATTGAACAATGATATTTTTTTTCAAACGCGATATTTTGCACTCACTCAATTTATCACTACCGACATTTTTAGTGATCTCGCTAACTTTACGTTAAATTAGCATAACATTATTTTATTTTCGAACACGATTTTCTTATGAAAAGAAAGGTAGCGGCAAATTTTTAGTTTCCACATCTAATTAGCGGCAGAAAAACAGCAAATTTCCATTCACTCAACTTATCACTATCGACATTTTTAGTGATATTGTCTCGCTAACTTGACGTCAAGTTAGCGAAACACATGATTTTTTTTTCAAACTTGATTTTTTGTAAAAAAAAGAAACGACAAATTTTTGGTTTTCACAACTAATTAGCGGCAAAAAAACGGCAAATTTCCATTCATTCAATTTTTCACTACCGACATTTTTAGTGATAATGTCTCGCTAACTTGACGTCAAGTTAGCGAAACAAATGATTTTTTTTTTCAAACTTGATTAATTATGGAAAAAAAAGAACCGGCAAATTTTTGGTTTACACAACTAATTAGCGGCAAAAAAACGGCAAATTTTCATCTACCTAATTTTTTACTGCTGACATATTTAATGATGTTGTCTCGCTATCTTGACGTCAAGTTAGCAAAACACGTAATTAAGAAAAAACCAAAAGAGCGGCAAATTTTTTAATTCCACATTTAATTAGCGGCAAAAAAGCGGCAAATTCTTGGCATAACGGAAAATCGATTTTCCGAAGTTGTCTCGCTAAGTTGATAGACATGAATAAACTTTAAATTTTTAGATTAGACATAGACTTTCAGATGTTCACCCGTTTTTTTGCTTTTAAATTTTATACTTGTAATTTTTAATTGATTATTTTTTTTTTAAAACTGTTTCTTTATTACCGGAAACATAAAGCTATAGACCAATAGCCACAGCCGTTAGGTATCAATTTTTTTTTTCTCTAGATGAGACTTATGGACAAACGTTTATGTCTAATTGTTTCCTTTTTTATTTCACTGTATTTTGTTGTATGATAAGAGAATCCTTTACCGTTGTATCCTGTTGAGAATGAATATGTTACGGAACAAAAAAATCTGAATTCAGTAAAACAAACGTTTATTCTCCTAGGTAACAAAAACAAAGATCAGCGAATCTTTGGCTTCCCAATGAATTGTTTTGGCGGTGTTCGGAATTGTTCATCTGAAAATTACAATAATTGAGTATTACAAATTAATTTTAATGATATTTGGTTGTGTGGCAAATAACTTATTTTTACTGTTTATTTATTAGTAAAGTCTACACCAATCTACACGAAGTCACTTGACTAGTATAAAAACTAAATACCGGCATAAGCATTAAGTAAACTTTTTCTTTGTCAAACATGGGCGGCGAAATTTTCTAAAAAGTGCTCCAATAAATAAATGAGAACAAACTAGAGTAGGTAATGCACTGCACTGTCTCTCACACCGACAATCCTATCGCCCCACAAAGCGGAATGAACAGATACTGTATGTCGGCCAATCAAAAATCGGCAACGGCCAATCAGATCTATCAAGTCCACTGGCATCCAGCATCGAACGTATGTGCAAGGAGCCAATCAGATCTATTCATCCCTACTTGTCTGGCTTCCAACGGTACGAGGAGCAATCAGTATAAATTTTGCTATATTTTTCAACATGTGATGCAGTATATTTGACCATACCACTATTTTAGGCCTGATCCAAGTAACTTCGTATAGACTTTAGCACAATATTTTTTTTATTATCAGTCGCAACGTTTTTTGAATATCTACAATTAATATGACGATTGATTTTGTATTATAGAGTTCAGAGTACCTAATTCATTACCAAAAGATAAAATCCACGAAATAACCATTAATGGCTGTTTGCACCGACCATTTTGAGGGAGGCTTAACGATAAGGATAGCTTAAAATCACACTTTTACATGTAAAAATGTCACTTTAAGGAACACTTATCGTTAAGCCTCCCTTAAAATGGTCGGTGCAAACGGCCATAAGGAAATAACAAAAAGACTTGATATTTTCAAATAACATTTCAACTTTCAACTTGGGCCTTATTGTTGTAGATGCCACACATGACAATATGACAATGTCAATGTCAAACCTAAATGTCCAAAGTGTGACAAAATAATAATTTTTTCCACAACTATCAAAAAATGATGATGTTCGCACACTCATAACAGCTTGCGAAGTGACACTTTTTTTCCCAGGTATTGATTTTTTAACGTTCCCATGACACCAGTGTGCGAACTAGCTATTTCGCACCCTAGTGTGCGAAATAGCTAGTTCGCACACTGGTGTCATGGTGACACATACCTGTCATTATGCCAAAAATAATCAAAATTCACCTGCTTTTGATTGGAAATGCAATTTTGGCTTCGAGTGATCGATATTTGAATGGAGTTGTAGAAAAAATATTGTTTGCAACTCGGGCGCGAAATGTTTTTGGTGATCTCGAACGATTTTTTGACTCCGCTACGCGTCGTCAAAAAATTTTCGTTCTCGATCACCAAAATGACATTTCGCGCACTTGATATAAAAATAACTATTTCATTGATTTCTATCAATAACCTAAATGTGTCAAAACTGTCACAATTTTGAAATAGGGGCCGGTTTCTCAATAGCAAGTCACCTCCGGGTTAGTTTTAACCACAGGGTAAGCGTGTCCAGTTGCTATGTTTATCCTGGAGTTATGCTTAGCCCGGGGGTGACTCGCTATTGAGAAACCGGCCCTTAACCGGTTGTTAAAAAAGTCAAATTTTGATGCAATACAAGGTGCGTTCAAAAATTTGTGCCAATTCCGATGGCCGCAACTGTACAGGGTGATTCATTAAGAATGGCACTCGGCCATATCTCAAAAACTATTCATCGTAGTCATGTCGGAAAAAAAATATCCCATAAATATGGCCAAGAGAAAATGCTGGAAATATATTTCAGCTTTCTAAAATGACCGTAAGGGGGCGTAACTCAACTGTCAAAGTACAAAAATGGTTTTATTTTTTAAATTTTAAATGGAAACGTATCTCAAAAATGCTAGCAATAGATTTTTGATGAAATTTCACACAATTTTAATTCATGACTTTTTACCATAACTTATCGGATAAGACAGTTATGAGCTGTCAAATATTGCAACTTAAGAACACGATTAACTTCAAAACGACTCAACGAATTGGGTCGATCTTAGGTTCGTTGGAAAGACAAGAGTCTGTTCTTTAATTTTATTGTAAAAAATTCCAACTTCAGTTAGTTGGACTGACTCTATGGGTGGATATTTGAAAACAATTGAATTTTTCTCATTTTTCTTGAATTTTTCAAATGGAACGGTATATTTAAGATATGTTCAATCGATTTTTGAGGATGTTTTACACAGTTTTTCTTTATTAAACCTCCCTACAAACGATTTCCAGAGAGTGTTAAATTTAATTTTATCAAAAATAATCAATATTTATGAAAGAGCCCTCGTAAATAATAACTGCTTTTCTGACAATTGACCTTTTGTTTGGACGCCATATTGCGGTGCGCGAACATAGTTGCCAAAAGTAGAAAAAAAAAATTACTAGGTTACTGTCAACATTAAAAACAAAAGTTACTGAATAAATTGCATTTAAAATTTAAATTTGCCGCTTATTACGAATGTTTTTGAAAAGAAAAGCCATCAATTTTAGCTTTTATTGAGCAGAATAGAAATAATAGAATAGCTGCTTTCGGGTGCCACCTTTTGAGCGCTCCTGAGTTACTCCGAAGTACTCCAGCTACAGTTTCACCCGTTCGGTATCAAGCGTTCGAGTGCAAAACGCATGGAGTATGACAGGTCACTGACAGATGTGGAGTGTTCTTGGAGCTTCGCACGCTGCACCCGAAAGCGGCTAATATCTACCTATTTACTTTCATCAATCAGAGAGGGAAAGTAAACAAACAAAAAGGATAGCGAGGATCAATCATTTAGTTACTTTTGTTGTTCATGTTGACAGCCAGCTGGTAATTTTTGTTTTTTTCTTTTGGCAACTATGTTCGCGCACCGCAATATGGCGTCCAAACAAAAGGTTAATTGATTGTAATCATTGATGAATGTCGAATAATGAAAAAAGTGCGTTAGGAAATTATTATAGTAACTATATTATGCAATGATCATGTAAATAATGATAGCCAATAATACACGAGCATGTTGTAGGATACGAAACTTGAAGAAGAAATACATATTTATTTTGAGAATAGAAAACTACTTAAGTGGTGGTGCCATCTATTAATAATTTTGGAAATTAAAATCTAGACGTCATTTCCGCATAAATTCGGCACCCGCGTACTGTGGATTCAGGGCCGTAGCTAGAGTCAAATTTAAGATAGGGCATGACAAATTCGACATAGGGCATACACTACTTGCCCCCCCCCCACCCCCCTAAATTTTTTATAGGTAAACAAAATTTTTCAATAAATCAAGGTTCAGGTTGTATGGTAATGGGTAACTTGATGACGCATCAAGGTATGCATAATGTATGGTAAAGTATGGTAATGGGTAACTTGATAACGCATCCGATCTGGGACACCTTAAAGAGATTTGCATTATGTTGAGGCACCTCAGATGACGTCATAAAGTTACCAGGGCTGGAACTCTGTACGCATAGAGATCATTATCCCTATCGCTATGGCACGTGCTGTCTTCTTCTTCTTCTGTCTTGTCGAAATCAATAGAGAGGGGACGTCGATAGAGATAGAGAAAATATCTCTATAAATATCTACTAGAGTCCCAGCCTTGGCATCCTACCTCTCTCGCCTCCATCAAACAACCTTGCAATAAATAACAACTCTGGCAAGTAAACAAAATGGCGCGGATTTTCGCGCCGGTCGCCTGGGGTGCGATTTTCGAAACAATTCGAGTACATTCCGTATACGAAATTTGACTGCTCCCCATTTAATTTACATTGCTGTCAGTCAAATTTCGTATACGAAATGTACTCGAATGGTTTCGAAAATCACACCCCTGGGCCATTCGCACTCTTTCAAAACAAAAAAAAAACTTCCTCTGTGCAAACGTCAACCATTGTTCATTAGATTTAGGCATTTTCGGAAACATTCATTCTCGCTACTCGATTTCAGGCCTACCTACTTCAGGTATCATCTACTCTTAAATTTTCTAAAGAAACCTTAATGTATGTTGATTTTTAAAGGTAGGGCATCATCATTTAAAAGATAGGGCATTGCCCCCCAATGCCCCCCCTGGCTACGGCCCTGTGTGGATTTATTCATTTTTCATTCGGCTCTTTCCGTAAATACAAATGGCGTTTCCGATTGGTAGATCTAGTGCGGAACTAGTGCAATTTTTTTTTATTTCTGTCTTTTTCTCTTACAGGTCGATTAAAAGGATGCAAATACACTCAGTGCGTACTGAAATTACCAATCGGAAATGCCATAACAGAGATAATCCAAAACCAGTCTATTATTTTTTTTTTCTACAAACGTCACTAAAAGTGTCATTTTTAACGGATGCTGTCAGTGTCTAAAATGCCATTTTATGACACTGGTGTTAAAAGTGATTACTTTTAGCACTAGTGCTAAAAGTAATCACTTTTAGTGCGCTTGTAGAAAAAATAGTGTATGATATTCGTGCTAAAAGTGATTTTATTTTGTTCAAAGGGAAGAAACACTACGCCTTCGGCGTCGTGTCCCGAACTTCCCTTTTCACAAAATAAAATGTCACTTTTAGCACTTATATCATAAATAACTATTATAAGCATTGTCCATTTTCAAAATAATTAGATTTTAGTGGCTGCGATTGCTGAATTTCCATTACATTCATGCAGAATCTCAAGGATATCCTGTGCTTCTCCATTTGGGAAATATATTTTGACTTTAGGAAATAGCGTTTGAAGTTTCAAAAATGTGTCAGCCTGACTTACTTAACTAGTATCTGCTCAATTTACGAGGGCTTTTTCATAAATACTGATTATTTTTAATAAAATTAATTTTAACACTTTCTGGAATTCGTTTGTAGGAAGGTATAATAAAGAAACACTATGTAAAACATCCTCAAAAATCGATTTAACATATCTTAAATATACCGTTCCATTTGAAAATTTCAAGAAAAATTGGAAACATTCAATTGTTCTCAAATATTGACACATAGCGTCAGTCCTACTAACCAGAATTTGAATTTTTCACAACAAAGTTAAAGAACAGACTCTT